CCCAGCAATAGCACTGCTAGGAATTTACCCAAGGGATACAAGAGTGCTGATGCATAGGGGCACATGGACCCCAATGTTCATAGCAGCACTCTCAACAATAGTCAAAACATGGAAAGAACCTAAGTGTCCATCAACTGACGAATGGATCAAGAANACAACAGAGAAAACTCATGAAAGTAAGAGCTGGGTTTTTTTAAGATCAACAAAATTGCTAAACCTCTAGTCAGACTGAAAAGAAGGAGAAGAAAGAAAGAGAGAGGAAAGAAGGAAAGGAGAAAAGAAAGAAAGAGAGAGAGAGAGAAAAGAAAGAAAGAGAGAGGGAGAAGAAAGAAAGAAAGAAAGAAAGAAAGAAAGAAAGAAAGAAAGAAAGAAAGATAGATTAACTACTAATATAAGAAGTGTCCATCAACTGATGAATGGATCAAGAAGATGTGGTTCATCTGTACAATGGAATACTACATGGCAATGAGAAAGAATGAAATTTAGTCATGTGTAGCAACATGGATGGAACTTGAGGGTGTTATACTGAACGAAATAAGTCAGGCAAAGAAGGACAGATACCATATGTTTGCACGTATAGGTGGTAGGAGGAACTTAACAGAGGACCATGGGGGAGAAGAAGGGGAAAAATAGTGGGGGAGAGAGAGGGAGGCAAACCATGAGAGACTCTTGAATGCTGAGAGCAAACTGAGGACTGATGGGGGTTGGGGGTCGGGTAGGGGGGTGATGGGCATGGAGGAGGGCACTTGTGGGAATGAGCACTGGGTGTTATATGGAAGCCAACTTGACAATAAACTATTTTAAAAAATAAATTTATTATCATTATTTTATTATTTTCTTAAGTTTATTTTGAGCGAGCATAGTAAGAGTGGGGTAGGGGCAGAGAGAGAGAGAATCCCAAGCAAAGCAGGTCTAAACTGTCAGTGCAGGGCCCAACGCAGGGTTCAAACTCACAAACTGTGAGATTATGAGCTGAGCCAAAATCAAGAGCCAGATACATAACTGACTAAGCCACCCAGGTGCCCCTAATTTTTAAGTTTTTTGAAAGTTTATTAATTTGTTTTGAGAGAGAGAGAGAGAAAGCATGAGTGGGGGAAGTGCAGGGAGAGAGGAAGAGAGAATCCCAAGCAGGCTCCACACTGTCAGCTCAGAGCTTAATGTAGGTCATGAACTGTGTGAGATCATGACCTGATCCAAAGTTGGACTCTCAGCTGACGGAGCCACCCAGGAGCCCCTGCAATGCCACTTTTTAAAGTTCACTTTTATTTTAATCAGTTATACAGTACGGTGTTTAAGGAGTCAAATAGTTTTAGAAGACTTGTTATAAAATGCAGCCAAGCCCTTGTTCGTCTTTCCCATGTCTTGCTATCCAGTGACAACCATATTGAATTCTTTTAGAATTGACAGTCACATCCTAGGTAAGGTGCTTATATTGTTACTTCTTGATTTTTCTGTTTTAGGAATTTTCTATTGATTTCTCACTCTGAAAAATAAGAACTTAGCTTTCCCATAATTCCTTTGAAATAGATTTTATTGGAAAGTGTATCATATGTACAGGGGTGTGGATAAAATTTCTGTGGCCTGGTAAAAATAAAATCCTGTTACTTGTTTAGTTTAAGAACAAGACCCTGACCCTGTTAGAAGGCGGCATACGCCCCTCTTTGCCCTCCCTTCTCTCTTCTGGATGAAACCACTAATCTGTGCTAATAATTTCTTTCCTTTGCTTATAATTATCCTGTGTGCACACATTCCTTAACAATCTATTGTTTAGTGTTACCTGTTTGTGAAGGTATATCATAAATGGAAACGTGGTATGTTTTCTGATTTTGCTTCTCTCACTCAGTTTTATGGATCCAAGTTCCAAGTTTCATCCACTGGAAACATGTGGCCATAGTGGGTTCATTTTCTCCGCTCTGTTGTGTTCATACAGAACACATTCCTATTTGTCCAGTCATGAGCATATAGCTGGTACCCATGAGCAAGAGTTTCTCCAGGCCACATGGGTGAGAGGGAAATTGTCAGGGCATAGGGTGTACGGTACCTTTTCAACTCTACTGTTTTCTGAAGTAATTTCACCCAAGTTCCACCAGGATTGAGTGAGAGATACTGCTGCCCCCCTCCCTTACCCCAACCCTTGCTAACACTGGGTATCGACTGACTTCTTAATTTTTACCAGTTTGGTTGGTGTGATGTGGTAATTTTAGTTTGGTTTTCATTTGCTTTCCCCTGACTACTACAGACTCATATTTTGAAAAGATCACTTGTGAGTCATCTTCTGTGAAACAGCCTTTCATATGTTTTGCCTGTCAAAAAAATTAATGCACAGATGTTCTTTATATATCATGGATATCAATAGTTTACTACCAGTTTTATGTGTTGCAAATAGGTCTTCTCAGTTTGAAGTCAGCTTTCTTTTTCTTTCTTTTTTTTTTTAGTTGAGAATGCAAGCATGCACCTGTGAGCTGGGGCAAGGGGCAGAGAGATGGAGAAAGACAGAGAGAGAGTGAAAGAGAGAGAACTTCAAGCAGACTCCACACTCAGTATGGAGCCTGATGGGGGGCTTGATCCCACCACACTGGATCATGATCTGAGCCGAAATCAAGAATCAGATGCTTCCTGGGGCATCTGGGTGGCTCAGTCTATTAAATGTCTCACTCCAGCTCAGGTCATGATCTTGTAGTTTGTGAGTTCGAGCTCTACATCGGGCTCTGTGCTGACTGCTCAGAGCCTAGAGGCCGCTTCAGATTCTGTGTTTCCCTCTCTTTTTGCTCCTCACCCACTCATGCTCACATACTCTCTCTCTCAAAAATAAACACTAAAGAGTCAGACACTTAACCAACTGAGCCACCCAGGCAACCCTGAAGTCATCTTTCTACCCTGTCAAGGGTCTTAAGAACAGAAGTTCTTAAAATTTAATTTAATTTACTTTTAATTTTGTTGATTTTATCCTTCCCTTTATGGGAAGGTTTATGTTCTTTTTTTCCCCCCGTTTGTGTTCTCTTTAGAAAAATCATTCCCTATTCCAGTGTCAGAAAATATTCTCTGTGTTGTCTTCCAAGTGTGTTATAGTTTTGCCTTTTACATGTTAAGTATTCAAATCTACCTGGAATTGCTTTTTATATATGGTGCGATAGGGATTGAATTCTAGTTTTTTCATCTATATCTGTTGTCTCAGGGACATATATTGAATAGTCTGTCTGCTTCACAGTAATCTCTGTGCCAAATCTGCAAAAAATGAAGTTTCCAAATATGCTTTGATTTGTTTCTGTGCTCCGTTCTGTCTATCTGTGCCAATACTATACTGTCTCAATTACTATAGCTTTATAATGTGTTTTCATGTCTGGCATAGAAAGTCCTTTGTTCTTCAGGATTGTCTCGACTCTTCTTCGGATATTTGTTTGTTAGTTTGTGTTTTTGGTGTACATTTTTATCAGCTTGTAAAGTTTTGTGGAATGGTTGAGATTTTGTCTAGAATTACATTGAATTTCGGGGCGCCTGGGTGGCTTAGTCGGTTGGGCGTCCGACTTTCGCATAGGTCATGATCTCGCGGTTCGTGGGTTTGAGCCCCTCGTCGGGCTCTGTGCTGACTGCCAGCTCAGAGCCTGGAACCTGTTTCAGTCTGTGACTCCCTCTCTCTCTGACCCTCCCCTGCTCACGCTGTCTCTCTCTCTCTCTCCTAGAAAAAAAAAAAAAAGAATTACATTGAATCTCTAGATCTATTTGGGATAGCTGAAGAATAAATACATGAAGATAAAACTACAGAACATCAGAGACAAGCAGCTCTCCAAAGCAGCAGGGGTAAGAAAAGATCACCTACTAAGGAACAGTGAATAGATGAATTAATTACCTTTTAACAGTAAAAATGGAAGCCAGAAGACTGTGGGAGGATGTTTCCAATGTGGTGACAGAAAAAACCAATAATCAACCTGGAACTGATACCCAGTTAAATCCCTTTAAGAATGAAAGCAAGATAAAAAATTTCAAACAAATAAGAACAGAGAATAACACTAAAGGAAAGTTTTAAAAGGTCTACTTCAAGCAGAAAGAAAATGGCCCTAGACACAAGGTATATTCTTCCAGGAGGAAGATCAAGAACTCAGGCTGAGAGAACTCTTTGGGGTGGGTGGGCGGGGGTAATTTGCTGACTTCTCTGATGTCTGCCTTTTACTTCTTTTGGGGGGTCTATACATTCTTCTCTTCATGCCAACTCAGTGATCTGTTTTAAAAGTTACTACAAAGATTTTATTTTATCCAGCATTTTAGTTGTTTCACGTGGGCAGGGATGTTTGGGTGTCTAAACCACCCACCTTATGGGAGATAAAAATCCTCCAACAAAACTTTCAGGAAACTCTCCCTGTCTCAGCCTGTACGGAGCCCTGTTATCTGTCCTCATGGCAGATTGTATTTTCACCTTGTAGCACATACACCAGCTGTATTTTTACAATTATCTGTATGCTCTTTAAATTAACTGTCTACTTACCCCATTAGAAATCTAAGGTCCAGGTCAGTATTGTTCTCCATTTTATTCCCATACTTTATTCCTAGTAAGCAAGTGCCTGGCACATTATAGATGTTCAGTAGACATTTATCGAGTAAATGATTAGATGAATAATTAATTTTTGGTTAGAAGCCAGTATTAGGTATTAAGTCAAGCACAGCTGTGTGTCTCTGCTTCGTATCTAGCCATTGAAGGCACTGCTTTAGGGCTAGTGAATTCCCATAGAACTGTGCTGTGTAATAAGATAACCGTCAGCCACCGTGGGTATTTCAATCAGTAAAATTAATTAAAATTTAACAAAATAAAAAATTCAATTCCTTAGTCGCACTGGCACATTTCAAACGGCTACTGGCTATCCCATTGGATGGTGCGGACGTAGAACGTTTCCATTATCATAGAAAGTTCTATTAGAAGTGCTGCCATAGAATTCTCAATGAGGAATTCTGAAGTGCTCTTCTCTCCTTCTCTCTCTTTCTCTTTGGCTCTTGCTCTCTGGCTCTCTCTCTCTCTCTCTCTCATCCCACCCCGAAACCAAATACAGGGATAGTTGTCTTATTATTAGTGACTTAAATGATGCTTTTGAACGAGAAGATGCTGGGTACTTTTGGTGGCTAGCACCATCCCACTTTTTTTCTTTTAAATTCCTGAGCTGTTGTTTACTAGTACATTTCTTTTATTCCTGTTTCTACTAAAGCTGAGTGTTACTTGGGTGGAAAGCCTAATTGCTTTCTTTTCTAGGTCCTTAAACCCTTTGCTAATGTTTCTGTCTGAGCGTTCCCAAAGCCAGGGTTCTAGGAGAGTTTGGCATGTCTGAACAGCTGAACCACGAAATAATGGAGTAGGTCCGGCGGGGTGTGGGAGCAGGGCATTCTGTCAATAAAAGAGCTCCCCTCTCTGCACACATGGCCAGTTAATAGGCCATTCTGGGAAAGTATGGACGGGGAGGGGGCTTCTGAGAATCGCCGGTGACAGTTAAGTGGCCTTTTGTTGACGTCCTCTGCTGAACAACTTTGTTGGATTTAGTCTCTGCCTTTCCCCCCACCTCCTGTGGATTTTCTGTTAGATTCATCATTTACCATTCACGCATCATCTTTCACTCTCTCCTTCCAATATGACTGCTTTGTGTGCCGGCCTTGGCTTTATTCCTCCATTCCCAGCCCATAAAGGGGGCTGTGCGGGGCTTCAGCTGGACTGAGAAATTGACTCTGCTGTCTGTTCAGAACTATAATGATTGCAGTGACCTTCATGTCTGGCAGAAAATGCACTACCTATGCCGGCATAATGGCGACCAGCTGAAGATAGAGAAAAGGGAGCCTTCACTGAATTCTTTCTCATGCTATATATATTTCCTTTGTTCCCCTCTCCATTCCCTTCTGTCCCCCTTCTCCCCACTGCAGCTGGAGAACTGACCTAAGATGCAGCTGTGACTCAGGGTTTATGCTTGGAAATAATAATACCTTCTATTTTGCAGGCTTTGCCAAGCCAGTTCACCTACGTTGTCTCATCTAATATTCCCCCAAACCCCTGTGAGGTAGGGAGGGGAGGTATCATAAACCCCATTTTACTGATGAGTGAACTGAGACTTAGAGAGATTAGGGCAGTTGCCCTAGGTCTTTTAGACAGGAAGTGAGCACACAGTCTCTGTCTCTAAACCCGGCGTTCTTTCAATGGCGTCCACACCCTTATGTGTAAGGAGGACGTGGCCCAGGGGAAGTGTGAGTGGATGGGGAGGGAGAAGGAGAGCAAAAGAAAAGAATTAAACGAGGAGGGAGGAAAGGAGTAATTTCCTTGGGCCTACCAGCTACTCTTGCCTTTCTCCGGAGATGAACACCTGGAGATGTTCACCAGAGGCTGGCCCAGCAAACCTCCAGGGAGGAAAGAAAGCTAAGAGCCTTGTCTTCCTCTTTTCCTCTTTCCTCTTCCCAGGAGGGGATTTGCCGGGCCATGGGGAGGCGTGGCCCTAGCTCTGCCAAGGCCCTGCGTGTGGGAGCCACATGCTGGGTATCACCAGAAAGAACCTAACGCCTGTTCTCAGGCCGGGCCTGCCGGCCTTTAGGTGCTGTGCTGTGCTGAGGCCTCGGCCATGCCCGCGCACGAGGAAAGCCCCTGAAGCTCGCCGGAAGGAAGAAGCATGCAGGGGACCCCTGGAGGAGGCGCAGGACCTGGGCTGTCCCCTGTGGACAGGTGGACGCTCCTGGTCTTCAGCTTTACGTTGGCAGCAGCTTTGGGCCAAATGAATTTCACGGGGTGAGTGGGGGCTCCATGGTAGGGAGAAGGGCTGTCAAGGGTTTGGGGACCAGGTGTGCCGGCGGGAAGGGGTCTGTCTTCCTGGGACCTGGTCAAAGTAGAGGGAGTTGGGACCTCACTTCCCAGTGAGCTCCGTAATCTCCCACTCTCATGCTCAAGGGCAGGACAAGCAGCTGTCTTACTGTCCTTACCCCCGTGAGTTCGTTTTTGTTTTTGTTTTAAAGTTTATTTTATTTATTTTGAGAGAAAGAGAGAGCACAAGTGGGGAAGGGGCAGAGAGAGGAAGGGAGAGAGAGAATCCCAAGCAGACTCTGCACTCAGCACAGAGCCCAATGTGGGGCTCGATCTCATGAACCAATAGATCATGACTTGAGCAGAAGTGAGACGCTTAACTGAGCCCCCCAGGCGCCCCACCCCCAACCCCCCAGCATAAGTTCTTAATCTGCAGCCCATGGAGAAGCTTTCAGGGCTCCAAGATTCCCCTGGTTCTTGCTTATATGTAAAATGGTTTGTGTATCTGTTTTTTTCTGAGGGAATGGTTTTGTCTGATTTTTTAAAAAAATTTTTTAAATGTTTATATTTGAGAGAGAGGCAGAGCATGAGTGGGGAAGGGGCAGAGAGAGAGGGAGACACAGAATCCATAGCAGGCTCCAGACTCCCAGCTGTCAGCACAGAGCCCAACATGGGGCTCGAACTCATGAGCCGTGAGATCATGACCTGAGCTGAAGCGGATGCCTAGCCGACTGAGCCACCCAGGCGTCCCTCCTCTGATTCTTAAAGGAGTAAGTAACACTCAGAGGACTGTGTATCCCTACCATATGGATGCAGTATTGTCCTCCTCTGAATACCAGTAAGCATTAGGATGTTACAGCAGGCCCTCTAGGGACATGTTTCTCAGCTTCCCAGGCATCACCTGATGGAACTAACCCATGGTATCTCCATAGTGGTGATGACGGGGAGTGGGGGGGTCTGGGGGGGCAGGGTTCATCCTCTCCGATATCCAAGCCCGTCAGGGAGGGAGCCGGTGCCATACTAGGCGGCAAACACCAGAGGCATGCGGCACAGCCTCTAGCGTGAGGCTCCTCTCCCCTTCTGTGTCCTCAAGCTCTTGAGAGAAGTCTGGAAAGGGCACAGGGTTTGGACAGACCATGGCCTTTGGCCCTCGTATGAAGAGCACTTGGAGCCACTGTTGGTCTCCCCTGCCCTCTGTGTCTATTCTTTTCTCCCCTTCATTCCTTTTGTTTCCCAGGTCTCCTCCATTCTCCCACGTTCCTTTCCCATACTTCCTCCCTGGTCTTGGTGCTGGGTTCATCAGTACCTGTGACGGGCTTTATTTAGTGGCTTGGGCGGTGTGTCCTTGGTCTGGAGCGACCTCTGCTTCACGCTGAAGGACTCTTGTGCATCCCAGAGCTGCATGTCCTTCTGCTCAGGCCTCCCAGCCTCCCTGCTGAGTCCCCAAGGTGCCAGGTCCCCAGGGTCCCCAGCCCAGCTTTCCGGGGAAGCCCTCACAGCATCTCCCTCCACCCTCCCTGTGTCTTTCCAGAGACCAGGTTCTTCGAATCCTGGCTAAAAACGAGAAGCAGCTTTCACTTCTCAGGGATCTGGAAGGCCTGAAGCCCCAGAAGGTGAGTACCCCTCAGGGCTTGGGAACAGGCTCTCCACTCTCGTACAGTGGCCTACACCTTCAGCCCCCTCCCCTGCTCCCCCAGCCCCAAACCCGCCCCTGGATATCTCTGCCAAAGATCACAACACTGTGGAAAATAAAATGTGGCTCCTCTTTGGGAAAGGCTGGGAACATTCTTCTGTAAAGTTGGGTGGCCCTTCTTGGCTCTCTCTTCTGTCCTAGATGGGGGGCTGTTGAGCAGACCGTGTCAGGGGCCACCTTACAAATGACTGGAATGTCCTGAAGCCACACGGGAAGTACATATATCTCTGGGTGGGAGACTGTGTGCAGACTGGACACATCTGTTTCCCCACTGAAATGGCTTAGCTTGGCAAACCCATGTTTTATTTGGGCTCGTCCCTGTCAGCCTGAGCATTTGTTTCCGAGAACATTTGTCCCTGCAAGCATTCTGCAATGGAAAACGTTTTCTTCAACCGTTATAATAGAAGGGTTTTGTCTGAAGGCTGCTGCAACAACCGGATATTTCAGGATGTGGCTCAAAGCCCACGTCCCTGTTTGTTTGAGTGCCCCTATCTATGGGGACTCATAACCCTTTATAACAATTCTCTCCTTTGCACAAGTTGGAAAATGGATGTGGCATTTGGGTGTCGTGGGAATCCTGACTGGGTTCCTTGCACCTCCCTGGGGTTTGAGGGCGGTGATGCCTTCCCCTTCTGAGCAGGGTTCTTGCCCATGAGGATGCCCCAGATGATGAACTGTCTCATCTTTAGCACCTATTTAGGGTTCTTGGGGTCCAGCTGAAGTTGCAGTGGGAGGGAGTGAGGCTGGGAGATGAAGGTGCTTGGAACCAGAAAGGGAAACAGTTCGAGGATTTTGTTTGCCACTGTCTCTGTGCTCGACCTTAGGGTTTTAATTTTGGAACCGGGGCCCTTTTAACTGTCTAAAAGAAGAAGAAGACCATCTGCCTATCTAAGGTGCCTACGGGATCAGGTATAAGGACATGCAATGAAACACACCCATTTTCCTTTCTTCTGTGGCCAAGGTGGACTTCTGGCGTGGCCCAGCCAGGCCCAGCCTCCCTGTGGATATGAGGGTTCCTTTCTCTGAACTGAAAGACATCAAGGCTTACCTAGAGTCTCACGGCCTTGCTTACACCATCATGATCAAGGACATCCAGGTGAGGCCCCGCCCCATCACTACGGCTAGGGTTTCACCTTCCACATGCCTTCCTGGTCGCGGCCCAGCACAGAGCAAAACAACCCAGGGCTGACCGTGGCCAGGTTTCTAGAGTTCTGTCTGCATTCTTGTGGACCTGCTGGAGAAGGAGCGAAACCTCACACTTCTCAGAGAATATTTAAAATCTAGGACAGAGTCCATGGCGGGTGGGGGGGGGGTGCTAACACTTTCCTCGTGTGACAGTGGCAGTCACTTGTGGACAAGTCCTCTCGTGGAAGGATTTGTGGCGCACAGCTGAGGAGGAGGCGGGGGAGGAGGGAGACAGGAGGCAGTAGCTCAGGTCTTTCCTGAGGCACCAGGGGAGGTAGCTCTGGAACATTCCTTAGTTTTTCTGACCATCCCTGCTGTCCCTGCTGTCCCACAACACCTGTACTGCAAGGCTCTCGGTACTAGGCTGCACCAGGCACCTCTCCCCGGCGGGGTTATCCCAGGGGAATAGCTTGGGGAGGGCTGCACACCCACCCTCGGGTAGGACAGAGAGAGCCCGTGCCAGCCTCCCCGCCCCCACTCGTCAGTGCATCTTACAGTGTCCTCTCTGAACATCATGCCATTTTATTTCTGTTGTTCTGTCTGCCTTCAAGAATATCCCAAGGAGCCTCCTTCCTAAAGCTGATCTTGTGGGCACCACGTGCTGGTTAGGCGTCTCTGGCCGCACCCCTCTGCGGATGCTGCTGCATCCCCCCCACCAGAGTCATACCCACAGAGACTCCCCGCCCCAGCCACGGTGCACTGCTGCTGCTCTCCGAGGGCTCTGAGTGTGGGAGCACAGTCTCCCGGAGCGCGCACACTTGACACCACATGCCAAGGGATAAACGCATTAGGGGCATTCCTTCCCTGCAGAGCACAGGGCTGGGCCGCTTAGATCCATTCACAGACCTTTATCCTTCATCAGACCCATGTGCTTGCTGCTCACCAAGTAGGGGTGGGCTCTTTCTCTAATTAATCCCCCACACGCCAAAATGGGGAAAGTCTTGCAGACAAGACAGGGCATCACATCAGAAGAAAGAGCACTCAGTTCTCGTTTTTCGCCCGTGCCAGGATCTTGAAGTTTGCATTTCCTTGCTTCGGCCCCGCCCTGGAAAGCCCACAGCATTTAGCAGAGAGATATGAAGAGGTCTCTCAAAATGTTCTGTCATTTCTGCACATCAGGAATGGCCCCAGAGACACCTCTGAGTCTACCCACTGGCCTCTCTGGATCTGTCGCCTTCCTGCTCCTCAGCCTGTCCTTCCCTGACGTCCCCAGGCTGGAATCCCTTGGGGGCAGAGGGGGGGGGTGTTGGAGGGGTGGTGCTTTTCACTTCCTCTAAGTAAGATGCCCTGGACTGTCTGCCTTAACCCAGCCAGTCAGGATTTTCCCCTTTTCCCCAACAACTCTGTCTGCGGTGCGTCAAGGTCTGATTGTCATACTTAGATCCCATTTTGGCTTGGAAGGAGCTGGGGTGGGGGTGGGGGAAGGCTGCTGTGTTGAGTTGATTTGTGGCGCTGAGGGGGAGGGTTTCCAGGAGGAGAAAAGCTCAGAGGCGCTAACAGGAGGGGAAGGCTTTGCACCACTCAGGTTTTTGGCCTCTAGCCTTGTGTTTCAGTTATTGACACCCGGGCCTAATTTCTTCTGACTCTTCCGGATCTCCTCCGCCTCGGTATTTGGCATAGTGTCTCTTGCACGGTGGGCCCTCAACTGTCTCAACAATTACTCTGTTGGCAGGTTCAGAAAGCGCGTGCCCAGACAGAGGCCTTGCTGTTATGTTGGTCTTTGTCTCCAGGGCCCCCTCTCCCGAGCCCCTCAAGGTCCAGGCTCAGGCCCCTTCGCACCTACTATAGCACCTGCCGCCCGGTTGGGGCTTCATAAATGTTAGTTGAATTAATGGATGTGAGGAAAAGAAAGAAGTGAGGGTGTGTTTGCTTGGTGGTACTAGGCTGAGAGCGAGCGAGAAAAACCTTGGTGCCGGCTTTCGCTTTGGCTGGAGGTGCTAGAGATTTTTGAGGAAGGGAAGTGTGCCCCGCTCCCCCCACGCTGTGGTCAGAGGGATGCTTGAGATGGAAGAGCTGGGTTCCTCCGTTGCATCTACTGATAGGGAGATACCTACTGTGCGCAAGGTGCAGGAAATACAAAGATAGGAACTCGGTTCCGTATCCAGGGGAGCCGGACTTGTGGGGGTGGAGAGTGGAGGGGAGCAAATCAGTGATTACAATGGAGTGGCTGAGCGCGCTGATGGAGTGCAGCAGGTTGCTATGGGAGCGGAGGACAAGAGGCTCTGCACATAGCGAGGCTCTGAGAAGGCGGTAATTGCAGTGCGGCTGAAGAGCAGGCGAGGGGGGACAGGGAAGGGAAGGCCCCCCTCCATTGGCGATGAGGCCCGACCAGATCACAAAGGGCATCTTTTGTTGGGCGAAGAGGTCGAGATGTATCCCAAAAAATCATGGGGGAGCCATCGGAGGGCTCTGACATCAGATTTGCATTTAAGAAAAATCCCTCTGATAGTGACAATGTTGAGTTGGGGACGGGAGCAGGGAGAGACTGACAGGCAGGAGGGTGTTGAGGAAATTGCAGTGGGCCAGGCAAGAAATTATCTGATTCCGAGTGAGCTCTATTTGCATTTAATTTTTCTTCACCTCCCCCTTTTTTCTCAGCCCTTTGGTTTTGGTGTTTGTTTGTTTTTTTTTTTTTCCTCTAGGATGAGTCACCATGGAAAAGCTTCACTTGAGCAATCAGCTCTGTGGATTTTAATGGCTTTTTTCTGATTACAAAATTAATAAATATTCATGTTAGATAATTTGGAAAATAGGGGAAAGCACAACGGAGAACACAAAAATCACCCGTGCTCTGAGCATCTGGAGCAAAATACAGTTTAGTGTAAATATTGCCTTGCCAATTTCCCCCTCTCTACCAGATCATTCTCATTAACATACAAATGCAGAGTTATGTCTTCCACCCTAAAATATCCTCTCTTGATCCCTTCCCCATACCTCCAGCTATCCCATTTCTCAGGTTCCCCATATAGCAAAACTCTTGGAAATATGGACTATACTTGTCATCTCCATCCCTCTCCTTGGGTGGACCGTCCACCCCTTACTTCACCAAAACTGCCCTTGATGTTGTCACCCACAGCTCCTATGTCCAACTCAGGGGCCAACTTTGAGTGTCCATTGTTCTTTCACCTTATTTAACATAACTGGTTGCTCTCTCGCCTTTGAAACATGTCCTGTCTTGGCTTTCAGGACTCTGCACTTTCCTGGGTTATCCCACCTAACTGGCTTGCCTTTACATGTTATTTTTCTGTTTCCCAGCTCTGTCCTTTGACCTCTCCTCGATCCTCCCATCCAAGATCATGGCGTTGAATACCTTCAGCCTCCTGAATATCCCCATAGTTACATCTCCAGCCAGACTCCTACATCCAACCTGAAGTCCAGACTCAGATATCCACCCACCTCTTCCTCACTGCCACCTGCCTGACCAAGGGGTGCTTCAGATGTCACCATTCCAAACCCAGCATCCCCTCAACTTGCTCCTCCACTGCCCTTCTCCATCTCAGGAAATGACAACACCATCTTTCTGGTCACTCAGACAGGAAGCCTGGATTCATCTCCAACTTCTTTCTCACACCTAACATTCAGCAAATCCCACCAGCTCTTCCTTTCAAATGTATCTTACCAGGGCGCCTGGGTGGCTCAGTCGGTTGAGCATCCAACTTCACCTCAGGTCATGATCTCATGGTTTGTAAGCCCGAGCCCAGCTTTGGGCTCTCTGCTGTCAGCACAGACCCTGCTTTGGATCCTCTGTCCCCGTCTCTCTGCCCCTCCCCTGCTCACATTCCCTCTCTCTCAAAAACAAACATTAAAGAAAATAAAAATAAAATGTATTTTACCATTCTATGCTACCACCCTGAGCCAGCATGCCATCAGCCGCTCACCTGGATTATTCTAGAAGTTTTCTAACTGCTGTCCCTAGTTCCATGTTGCCTAGTCTCAAAACAGCCTTCAGAGGGGTCCTTTAAAATTATTATTATTATATATTATATCTGATTATGTGACTTCTCTGCTTAAAACCCTCAATGACTTCCTAACGCAGAGTAAAAGCCAAAGTCTTCAGATGGCTATAAAGGGGCCCCCACTCCCCCCATCACTGACTGCTCTGCCCTTGCTCACTCTGCTCCAGAGACCTGGACCTCTTTACTGTCCCTTGAACTTGTCTGACCCATTCCTGCCTAAGGGCCCTTGATTAAGTTCACGTCTCAGGGCCTTTGCACTTACTGGTCCTCCTGAGTGGAGTGCTGTTTCTGCAGATACCTGCATGCCTTATTCCCTCGCTGCTTTCAAAACTTTATTCACAGGTCACCTTCCACCTTATTTTAAACTCTACCCTTCTTCCCCTGAGTCCCCCCCCCCCATTCCCTCCCTCCTCGCATTACACCCCTTTTCTCCTTGGCACTTACTACCCTCTCGTATCCTATATGCTTGATGTACTTATGCTGTCTGTGGTCTGTCTCCCCTGCCAGACTGTGTGCTCCATGAAGGCAGGAGGTTTTGTTGTATTGGCTGCCGTGTCTCCAGTGCCAAGCGTGTGCTCAGCAGACATTAGTTCACTGAAAAGAAGAGATTAAAAAGTGGCAGCGATGTTGGCTGGGGTGGGACTGGGAGAGCCCAGGAGAGGGGGGCAGGCAGGCACGAGCAGGAGAAGGCAGGGGAGGAAAGGAACACTTGTGAGCAAGGTCCTGAGGGAGAAGCAGAGACTGGCTGCAGCAGCGGGACGGGGAGAGAAGAGCTGGCTCCTCTGTCGGTCCTGGGAGAGGGGCAGTTGCTGCCTGACTCACCCCACTGACCGGTAAGGGGAACAACCTGCCACCCAGGTCCTACAGATACCACTTCTTCCTGGAGGAATCCAGATTTCCTGGTCACGCCTGGTAATGACTTTTCCATCGCAGAGTCCTGGAGCCACCCCCGAAATTACTATTGCCCGTCCACCGTCCTCTTGCTCTTCCTCATCGCTACATGCAATGCCCCAAGCATTTTACATGTATTAAACCCTCTAATCCTCACGGGAACACTTTAAAGAATGTGCTCAAGTGTGTGCTAACTTGGCCCCCATTTTATGAAGGCACAGAGAGATGAGTATTTGGGTAAACCAAGGCACAGAGAGATTAGCGGCTTGCCCGTTAGTGATGGCGTCAGGATTTAATCAGAGACAGCCTGGCCACGGGCCCTGCACTCTTTGCTCTTGTGCCATCTGCTCCCTCTACAGTTGTCACTGTTGTTTGTGTGGGTGGTTTTAACTCTGCCTTTTGGGCAGTGAAGCAGCCATTCAGCCTCGACCTCTGAGGGGGTCCATGCTGAGAACCCCAGGTCCGGAGCCACCCAGCACGTAGGCCCCGACTGCACTCTACCAGCCACGCAGCTGCTACCGCAAATGTTAGGCCTGGAAGAGAAGGCCAGGGACATGTGAGGGGAGGTGACTGCTGCTGTCACAGAGTAGGGCTGAGGGCAGGGGGGTGGAGAGGTGCGCCCCGTCCACCGTCACCCGGAGCCGTGTCCACTTTACGTCTGTGGCTGGAGTTCAGCTGCCGAGTGCCGCTTCCCTTCAGGCATCAGCTTCACCTTTCCGGGGCCTCCCTTGGCCTCCTGCCCTCTTCCGTCCTGGAGGTGCTGTTCTCCTCGTGTTCCTGTCCTTCCTTACCCCTGTCATAAATTAATTCACACCAAGGTATTACTTTCCTTGTCAGGTTATGGCTTCCAGGGAGGCAAATGGCTTACTTCTGAGTTGTTTCTTTTTTTCCTCTGAGCAGCCTGACAGGGCTGTAATTAGGCTTCCCTGAGCCTGTGGCAAGACTGCGTTCTCAGTTCTCCCCTCTCCTCTCTCGGCCTTGTGAAGGGAGCCAACATCTGTGTAGTTTTCAGGCCAGGGTAGATTAGTGTTCTTGGGATTGGGGCCCAGCTGTGAGGGCTGAATATTCCCAATTTGTGAGCGGGTGTCATATCCATTCACAAGGCTGCGAGGGTGTTTGGAAAGTTATTTGCAGTTTGGTGCCCATTTCCCATTTGCCCCCAAGCTGTTTTGTGGAACCAAGAGTGGCCTCATGGGAGCTGTTTGCTCCTGTGGATGTCTCTGGGCTGTGGGAAGATCTGGGTCCTCTGGTCCTTTCTTCCCAATTTCTCCTCCCTGTTCTCCGCCTTTCCCCACCACCTAAGGTCCCTAGGAAGTGGGATGTGTGGACCTTCCATTCCGGTGGCGCCAGAGGGGGACTTCTGGGTGCACCAGCCCCGGGCTGCTGGCTCCCTGTGGCTGCTCACCACAGCTGGTAGCGCCCGGCCTGAAGTGACGGGCACACACTGGTCATGGTGGGCTGCTGAGATTTCCATTGGTTTCCTGGGAGAATACAAGTCCCTTTTGTCAGAGCGTCCTAGGGTGGTGCCTGTGCCAGCAAAGGTCAAGGCTCCCCCAGGCTTCCCTACTTGCCCAGCATTCCCAGCTTTGCCCAAGTGGGAATGTCCCGGCTTAGCTAGTTGGGCCAGAGAACACTGCAATCACAATTGCCTAACATGTGGCCAGTGCTCAAAAGAAAAGAAAATGAGGCCCAAGCAGCGATTTCCAGGCCCATTTTTAAATCTGTGAACTTGAGGGTTGTGAGCAAGCTGACTGGGGCAGCAGGGTGAGTGGGCACTGGGCAGCGGCCTCGTCTGCAGGGTTGGTGGTGATGCCTCCCTTCCAGCCCCGGGACTGTAGAGTCCATGGCTGCTACTTTATTTTAGCCATTGGGCATTTTTGTTTTTGTTTTAGTACTATTTATTCATTAGAAGGTTTTACTTTTTGAAGTAGTGGAAGCATGCTGCCAAAACGTAAAAACAGAGAAAATTTAAAAATTGCTTGAAATCATAATCTTTCTATTCTAGCAAGCATTGTTTACATTTTGGTATTTTCTGACATTTTACTGTCTTGTTTTCTATGTTATTTTTTCAAATAATTTTAAAAAATGTTTTATTTATATTTATTTTGAGAGAAAGAGAGAGAGAGTGAGCACGAGTGGGGGAGGAGCAGAGAGAGAAAGGAAGAGAGAATCCTAAGCAGGCTCTGCACTGTGAGCATGTAGCCTCATGTGGGGCTCGATCCCATGAACCATGAGATCATGACCTGAGCCAAAATCGAGAGTTGGACTGTCAACTGACTGAGCCACCCAGGCACTGAGCTTTTTTGTTATTTCAGAACACCTTTTACTTGCAAGAATAGTATGATGGGTTTTTCACCTGTTGTTAACATTTTACACATTTTCTTGCCCTCTCTGTACACACACACACACACACACACACACACACACAGATAAACATACTCTTGACCCTTGAACAGCCTGGGTTTGAACTGTGTGGATATACATGGATTTTTTTGGGGATAAATATAGTACGGTACTGTAAATGTACTTTCCTTATGATTTTCTTAGTAATATTTTCTTTTCTGTAGCTTGTTTTATTGTAAGAATACAATATATAACACATATAACATATAAACTATGTGTTAATTGTCTGTTTATGGTATTGGAAAGGCATAACAGCAGGCTGTTAGTAGTTAAGTTTTTTGGAAGTCAAAAGCTACATGTGGATTTTTACCCGGGGGGGGGTGGTGGGGTTGGTGCCCCTAAACCTCTCATTGTTCAAGGGTCAACTCTATGCACCTATAGATATATACATCTATCTTTGTGTGTATGTTTATTATGTATGTTATATATAATATGTACAGTTATTATTCTTATTTCCCTTTAGTTTTGATAACTAGCCAGCCTTAAGGAACCCAAGTCTAGGAATAGGATATCTGGGTTCTCACCTCACCTTTGCCCCTGGTTGGCTTTGCCATTGTCCCTTCACCTCTCCAATCTGTTTTATCTCTAAAACATGAATAGTTAATTCCTGCCCTGTCATTTGGTCATCTGACCAGCTCAATGGAGATAATGAAGATAAAGATGCCTGAAGCAAGATATCATCAAGACTCACTTGTGTGACTTTGAGTTGAGGTCTTCTACTTTCCCAGCACCCTTTGTGGCAGAGGGGCTAAGGTCCTTCCCATGCTGCTAGTTAGTGCAGAGTTCTGGGATGCCTCTATCCCTGGGTACCAATGTAAGGGTATGAGCTTTGGGTGAAGGGCACTTGCCCACCTCACCGAATCCCAGGCTGGGAAAAGTGTCCCAGAATGATGTGGGAGGGCAACCCAATCCAACCATATGCCCTCCCTAAGGTCAGTAGGAAGTACTGCATGAGGACGGAGTACCAACTCCAAATGATACCCAGGACATTGCTTTTGGCTCACCTATACTTGTGTTTAAGAGGCAGTTAAGATCGGAAGTAAATGACTGTTGGCATATTAATTCTGTAATTATTTGGACCAGCCTGCTCCATAGCTGGCTTTCGAATGGCCTGGACATCAATTGTGTAGGCTACCCCCTGAGGGTAGAGTGGATACTGTGGGTCAGGGGAGCCCTCTGCTCCCCCAGGGAGCACTCAGCAGTGTTCATAGAGGGCAAAAGCAATGTTGGTAATAGATCAATGAGCACTTTTCTAAAATACTTTAATATCCCTAATTACATTTTATCCTATGAGCTGGGCAGAGCAGATATTGCTGTCCTAACTTCCATGCTGAGGAAACTAAGGCCAAGGCCAAAGCTCCCCAGCAACTTGGTGGCAGACCTGGAATGCAGCTTTCCTGACTCCTCGCCCTGTGCTCATTTGGGAAATGGCGGTATGAACGCCACCTGGCCAAGGAGAATCATCTAGCAAACAGCGTCTCCTGTTGTGCAGCTCACACTCATGGGGCTCACTCTCCTGTGTCGGTGCTGTCTTTGTGTACAGCCAGCCGATGAGGGGCTCAGAAGAGGCTTGCTGGGCCCAGTTCTCCCCTTCCCTTCCAGTACGTGCTCTTATCTCCTAGGTGCTGCTGGATGAGGAGAGAGAAACCATGGCCAAATCCCGGCGCCTGGAGCGCAGCACCAGTAGCTTCAGCTATTCCTCTTACCACACCCTGGAGGAGGTAGGTCTGCCCAGTTGGTCTCTCTTGTCCCCTTGGGCCCTCAGGGTCTCCAGACTTGGGTGGAGACTGATGAACGACTCTGAGGTCCATGGGAGAGTGTGAACTGACACCTGGAGAGTCTCTGGAGTGCACACCAGACACTGGGTGAAGGTCTGTCAGATAGATAGTCAGCTTCAAAGAGGTCCAGAAGCCAGGATTCAGATAGAGATAGAGAGAACTGCAGCTCAACAGTACAGCCCAGGGCAGATAGGGAACAGAAGAAACGTCTACTAGGCAGAACACTGAGGTAGGGGTGCGTCACTGGCCGGAGCAGAGCAGGTAGTGGCATCTCCAAATCCAGCACTGTGGCTGGGGGCTCAGTGGTCTTGATCTCTCGACAAGCATTCCTGGTGTTAAGTGGCCCCAGCTGTGGGTACTGGGGTGTAGGAGGGGCAGGAGGCCAGGCACACTGGAGAGCCATTTTGTAGAATAGAACAGAGTTGCCTCAGTTGGAGACAATTCTTGATCCCAGTCACAGCCAGCTAGGGCAGGCGTGACTGACCGTGACATGTTTGTAAAGGAGAGTATGCAAGGAGAACATAGAGACACCCAGTCCAGAGAGAAACTCAAGGCACAGGTCCCATTTTCATGTAAAGGATGCTATGGTATTGATATTGTCCCTTCTGGTATCACCATTTCACATGGCGTGTAAGAGAAGGTCCAGGGACACTTGGGTGCTCAGTCCATTAAGCGTCAGGCTCAGGTCATGATCCCATGGTTCATAGGTTTGAGCCCTGCGTTGGGCTCTGTGATGATGGCTCAAAGCCTGGAGCCTGCTTCGGATTCTGTGTCTCCTTCTCTCTCTGCCCCTCCCCTGCTCATGCTCTCTCTCTCTCTCTCTCTCAAAAATCAATAAACATTTTTTCAAAAAAAAGAGAAGATCCATTTTCCCCATAGATTTGGTAAGTCAATTATGTACGTTGAAGGAGTAAGGGAAGGGATTAATATGGCCTGTCAGAATCTATTGACATCAGAGGTAAATAGCCCTGCCTTCAAAAGGCTTAGCATCTCTAAGGGCCGAGAAGACCAAAACAGCTGAGTCTGTGGGGGGTCTGTCAAATGGACTGAATGGGCCAAGAGAATGGAAGCGAGAGAAGCTTCCACCCCAAGAGCCTTGCAGGCTGACCCTGGGGACTGAGTAGGTTGAGCACACTCCCCTTCCAGACAGAGGCTCAGCTCTGCACGGGGCCAGTTGCCTGCAAATCAGCCCCTTGCCTGAGCGTCTTTATGTCCCATTCTCCCTCTGGGTTCTTTTAGCCCTTAAGGGAGGTGGGACAGCAGTAAGGAGGGTGGGATGGGGAAAGGAAGACATCCGGGGCCAGCCTGGGCTCCGCCCGTCCCTCCCCACTGCCTGTCTGACAGACTTCATTCCTTTCAGATATATAGCTGGATCGACAACTTTGTAGCTGAGCACTCAGATATTGTTTCAAAAATTCGGATTGGCCACAGCTTTGAAAATCGGTCCATTGTTGTTCTGAAGGTAAAAGCGGGCAGTGGTGACCACTGGACTCAACAGTGAGAGCCTCTGGCATAAGACTGAGCCTCTGGCGTGCCTGCTGAGCTCATGTAGGGTCATGGCAGGGTGGGAGTTTTAGGGAAGAGAAGATGTGTGTACTCCTGCCCTGAGGTGACCCACAGCTTTGGGACTGTGGTGTTCAAGGACTCCCCTTGTAGGTATGCACAGGTGACAGTGCAGTGCCCTGGAAGGTCCTGGGTCAGGAAGTAGGTGGGAGGGTTGCAAAGGAGATGGAATTGTAGGGTGGTGGTCATCCCCTTGGTCTTGGGATGTGAATGTCGGTGAGTCAGCATTCTCCCTATTCCCTTGGTTGCTTCATCTGTGAAATGGGAAGGGAGGCAAATAGAGGCCTCATTTATAAGCGATTGAGGTCACCTGGCTCAGGGAGCCCCACAGATAGGCCTGAGTCTGTGGGGAGACCTCAGCCTTTCGCAGGGGCCACTGGAAACAGTTTGAGCAAACTCGCAGGCGGCAGTGGCCTTGGTCATGAATAAGGCAAGATGGGTAGGAGTGTGGAGCCAAGCCAACCTGAAAACAGTTCTTAGTATGTGACCTCAAGGCACCCACAGGACACTTGACATTCAGCTCTTGACAGCCCTGGGGGACTCTTCCAGAGGGCCAAGTGTTCTCATCGAACTTGGGACTTGACCTCCTCAGTCAGCTTTGATTTCCCCCAGGCACTGTCTGTGTTTTCTCTTTAATGTGGCCTAAGACCTTGCTACTCAGGGTGGGGGCCCGGCACCTGCGGGAGCACCCCCAGGGGCTTGTTAGAAATGTCCAACCACAGACCCCTCCCAGACCTACTGACTGAGAATCTGCATTTTCGTAAGATCCTGGGGATGTGTGTACCCTTTAAAGCTTGAGAAACCCTAGTCTAAGACACTTTCAAGCCTGGGGAGCTCTGTGCTTCTGGCTGGGTCACTTTGCGCCCCATATGCACCGCTGTGTCACCAGGGCCCCTGCACGTGTGCACTTCGTGGACGTGTGCACAAGTACCTGCACATATAGCCCCTGTCTCGGGCACATGGGGCCGCCCCAGGCAGTGAAGAAACATCTGGAGCTTCCTTCTGGGGGCCTAGGGACAGCTCTGTAGCTGCCTCAGTTCAAACTTGTTTGGGACCCGGTGCTTTTACCCAGTTTAGCACTGGAGGATCTCAGCGCCGGGCCATCTGGATCGACACTGGAATCCACTCCCGGGAGTGGATCACCCATGCCACTGGCATCTGGACCGCCAAGAAGGTCAGCACGGATGATGGGGGTAGGGCTGGGGTGGGGGCTACTTGACTATTTTGGGGCGCCTCTGGCTGCAAGACTGCACTTGGCTTGTTTAAACTCAGGGGCTCTCTGCTTTCCTGTCCTTTGGAACAGCTGTTGTGTGCTCTGGCCTTTTTGCAGCACAGAGCCCACATCTATCCATCTATCTAGTTAAACAACTAGAAGGGATTTTACGTCTAGGCCTTTAGTTCTCCACAACGAATGTATCTGATGGCCAGATGCTACTGGCTGTGCCAAAGTCCCGATCCATCTCAGAGGAGAGCCAGGCAGTGCCTCCCATCCCTCACCGTGTACCCACTCTGCCCTTGCCTGCAGATTGTCACCGAATATGGCAAAGACCGCACCCTGACAAACATACTGAACGCCATGGACGTCTTCATGGAGATTGTCACCAACCCTGATGGGTTTGCATTTACCCACAGCATGGTGAGGGCATTTGGGAGGGAGAGGGCCAGGGGTCAGGGTCAGCTCTGGGGGGAGGTGGGGAGGTTGCAGGAACGGTCACTGCGGCTTTGGGCAGCTGAGCTGAGGTTCCCTGGGGGCTGGAGCAGGGGCTCCTGGCAGAGAGTCTCACTGAGGCAGGCGGGTGACTCAGGTACTGCAGCTGCCGCTCTTGCCCGTCGACCCCTGTCCTGCTGCCTGGGGAAAGCCACTGGCGGCGTCCTGTCCTTGGGCCTGTCCCCACACAATGGCTTTAACCACAAGGTGATATGCAGTCGTGGCCCAGTAGTACCAAGCCCACCCTGCCCTAGACATGCCTTCCTTTTGCCCCTCTTTGTCCCATGAGACCCCCCTCCCCCTTTCCTAGGACAGGATGTCAGAGGTTCCCACCCCTGGGAAAGGGGTGAATGTCACCTGCCCTGGGCTTTTTCAGAACCGCCTGTGGCGGAAGAACAAGTCCACCAGACCCAGAACCTTCTGCATCGGTGTGGATCTTAACAGGAACTGGAGGTCAGGTTTTGGAGGTAGGGCAGTCTGCTGGGCCTGGGGGCAGGGCCAGAGAAGGGCCTGGTCCTTGGCGCGTCTCCCACACAGTTGGATTACGCGGACTCCCAACTTGGGAGGCAGTGTAGTTAGTTAATGCAAGTGAGTCATGGCCAGGCACAGGCAAGCACCTGCCTAGGATTGGCTGTGCGATATGGGGAGATGTTGCACATGCGTGGTAAATGTCCGCATATGCTCCGGCTTCTTGGGAAACACGGGAACTGCTCCTTGCTGCAAGGGTCAAATCCTAAATATGGCAGAGAGAGGTACAAGAGAGTCTTCAGGTGCCTTCACGAGGTACAAGATAGTCTTGCTGGTTGTTCAAAACTTAAGAGTTTATATGCCTCCCAAATCTCTCTAGCCCTTCCCTGTAGGGAGTCCACCCAAAGAAAATGCCTTCAAACTCATGTCCTGAGAGTTATGGCCTGAAATTGGCCCTTTGGGGAGGCCAGAACAGTAGTTTAAATATAGAATAAGCCAAGTTCTAACCATCGACACTGACTTGAGCCTGGTTTTTATTTTTGACCCAACTGCTTTGTAATCCTGGGCTGATGGGCTGGTGCATGTGTGCAGGGCTGTATTTTTTTCCGGGCAGAGGTGGGTAGCTTCCTCCCAAGTTCCTTAGTGTTCTTCCTGATTATCTCCCTTACCACACCAGGGACGTAGGGGTTAGATGGGAAACTGAGGTCTCCAGAAAGCCTAGAGACCAGAGCCTGGGCCCTGGGAATGCAGCAGTTTGGTGAGTGGGATGCTGGGTCTAGCCAAGACAGGTTCCATGGGCACAGCCTTCAGCCTCCAGATGTGGCACCCACTATTCTGGGTTGGGGGGTGCGGGGGCAAAGTTTAACTCCACAGGAGACAGTGCCATTGCTGTTGAAAAGCAGACTCACCGATGGAAGGCCAAATCAATGAGATAGAACATTGTAGATCTGCCCATCACTTTGAAAATCTAGCTTCTTTTCAGTCTGTTTTCATTGAAAAATAAGCATCTACAGAGTCCAGAGCAAGGCCCTCAGCCCTTGGTGTGGGGGCTGCCTGGGAATCTGGCACTGTGTGTGTGTTACCGCTTGTGTAAGGGAACACAACCATGTAAAAATGGGTGTTTTCACCTTCAAACGACTAGACACTTGCCCCAAGTTGTAATCCATGTGGGCCCCTCAGAACCAGCTGAAGTGAGTACCCATGGACCCCAAGACAGATGGGCTTGTAGAAAGACAAATTACCTCTTAAAGAAAATAACTTTTCTGTGTTTCACCACAGGGGGCTGGGGAAAATCAGTATATACACAATGTAAAAAAAAAAAAAAATACATATATACATATGGAAAAAAAAGATTATGGGAAAAAAAAAAAAAAGCCCAGAGGGGAAAAAAGCTCCCATAATCCCACTACCCAAAGATTACTGCTTTTAATAATTTACCATGTCCTTCCAGAGATTTCCCCTTGCTACAAATTACATTTTCAGAGAAGGAAAAATAAATAGCTAATGAATCCATTAGCAGGTACTTGTGACACAGGCAGGCTCAGAGGACTTTGACTATGAACGTCAGAGAGAGGCAGGCAGCTAATTCCCATTTGGTCAGGGGAAGATTAGTTTATGCTGCTTAGCTCAAACCAGAACTAATGGCCTGAAGTGTTTCTCCATATTTGGGCAAAGCCACCTGGCCGTTGGCAGGAACCGCTTTCCGTGCGTGGGCTGCAAACGCAGACAAAGCTTTCAGCCTCCCCCGCTCTGCTCATCTGTTGCTATTTGTCATTCATCAAGTGTAGCAGGTGCAGAAGCTCCCGGCAGACACAACAAACAGGGCCACTGTCCAGCCTGTGGGGCCACTCCTCACCCTTGCTTCCTGTAGTCACATCCCCTTCTCACCAGGGTCCCCGCCCCAGGCGAAGACCCGCAGACCAAGGGGGTCTGCACTCCCCAGTGACGGCATTGCCTCCGGGCCTGCCTGTGGACAGAAATAGTGTGTGTCTGGGTTGGTGACTCAGGCTGGAAGATTTTGTTTATGGTTTTATCATTGCCTTAATTTAATTGCTGCATAATGAGTAATCTGTAGACCCTCCCTCCCACTCACGCTCCCCTGCCCTGCGCTCTTGGGGAGGACTGGTTTGTTGCAATCCAGTGCAGCATCCGAACCAGTCCATGGGCCAGTCCCTCAGTTCTCCGGCCAGTGCACTACCCAGAGGGTCTGGGGAGATGCTCTGGGGCCCCTGGGAGGCTCCAGAAGTCAGGGTGATCCCCGACCTCTGCACTGGGCTTGTGTGCAGTCATTTCAGGGAGAAAGAGCAAAAGGAGGAACAGGGCTGGCTCCTTCCAAATAACCTACAAATCTTGACCAACCCACAGTCCAGCGCCCCGTGACGTGGCCCCTGGGGAGGGCAGGCAGACAGAAGAGGGAGAAGAGAAATGGAGAGCAAAGAATCTAGGAGATAGGAACAAATGGAATTTGTGAACAGAATAGAAGGTCAGTTCTTCTTTGTCCTCTCCCCCCCCCCCATCTGAGGTCCCCAAGAAGAATTGTCAAAGGCTCTTTACATCTGTGGCTCCCAGACCAGCTTCAGGCAGCTATGGGGATCCATTCTGTCTTCTTTTGGCCCCAAGTTCATGTTGATCTCGGGGCCATGGCTGTGGCAAAGCTTGAGCAGACACTAAGGCTCAGCCCTCAACTGACCAAGCTTTCTGTAGGGCAGTGGACAGTCGGAAGAGAAGGGCCAGGCTCAGAGGGGTCGCTGCTCATAGAGGAAGCCAGGGTTGGAGACCTAGAGTTTCTTCTAGGCTCCTGAAGCAGGTGCACTTTTCTAATGGAATGAGTCAGGATTTAACCAAAGGACAAGCCGGGGAAGCTCTCTACAGGCCCACAGAGGAACTGAGTTGTGGTGTGGCTGCCCCTCTTCTGATGTATTAGACCAGGGTTTGCAGCAGTGGTAAATACCCACTCCAAATCCCAGTGGCTTAACACAGTAAACGTTTGTTGTTTGTGCACATGAGGCTCAATGTGGGGAGGCAACTCTCCTGGGCAGCTTTCTTTCAATCGTGACAGGGATTTGGGATGTTTCCTCCATCTAGAGGTTTCTGCTTCCAACCATAGAGACTGAAGAGAGTGCTCTTAACAGCCTCAAACTAGAAGTGACACATTATTACTGCTCACATTCTCATCGGCCAGAAGTAGTCCCATGGCCTCAACCAAACTGCAAAGGAGGCTGGGAAATGTAGAGGAAGAGCTGGATATTTTGTGAGCATGAAGTGTTTTTCCCAAGTCTTGGAATTTGAAGCCTCTGCGTGCTTTTATTTTTCTTCCAGGAAATGGCTCTAATAACAACCCCTGCTCAGAGACTTATCGCGGGCCGTCCCCTCAGTCGGAGCCAGAGGTGGCTGCCATTGTGGCCTTTATCACATCCCACGGGAACTTCAAAGCTCTGATCTCCATTCACAGCTACTCTCAGATGCTCATGTTCCCTTATGGCCACTCACTGGAGCCCATTCCAGACCAGAAGGAGTTGGTGAGCTTGGCTGTTTGGGACGTGGGGGAGGCATCAGGCAGGCTCCCAGAGGGTCGAGGCCCTCACTCTGAAATGAGGGTCTGTTGACCCCATGGTCAGCTGACCCCATGGACCCACTTGACCCCATGGTAGGAAGGAGAGGAGAGCTTGTTGTTCTCACATGTGGTCAAGTTCAAAGCCAGAGGTGCTGTGCTCCCTTCTCATGAGAGTCAGCTACACATTCAACTTCCAGGACCCCTAAGTTCCTGTTTCTCAACAGCTGGTGAGGGTGTGGGAGCATGGAGAGTCCTAGCCTCTCACCCTCTGGATTATTCTCACAGTACGATCTGGCCAAGGACGCAGTGCAGGCCCTGTACGAGGTCCATGGCATCGAGTATATTTATGGGAGCATCAGCACCACCCTTTGTGAGTGAGCCTTCCCCTGGCCGCTGTGCAGGCACCACATCCGCGGGAGTTGGGCGGGTGCGGTCTCTTTGCTGACTGGCAGTGCAGTTGGCCACAGGGCACTGCCATAGATCTGACTGGGCTGGGTCAGAGCCGAGTTCCACATCTGAATACAGGGGTGAGTGGTGATACCCAGAAACAGGCAGCTGTTTCTTTGTAGCATTAATGAACTCCCAGCTCCCAATGCCTGGCTTACTGTGATGTTCCTTGTGTGGTGGCCTCAAGGAGCTTTCTCTTTGCCAGGGAAAGAGAAGGGGGAGAGGGGCAGGGTGTGGCCCAGATTGAGACCTGGGTCCTGAAACTTGGTATTGTCTGGGGTGAGTTGGGGTTTGGCTTCCAGGGCCCACTGACCACTCAGAGTGCCTCCGTACTTTGAAAAACACCTTATTTTTCCTTGGGGGGGGGGCATTTCTTTGCCCTTTTATGTCCAGATGTGGCCAGCGGGATCACTGTTGACTGGGCCTATGACAACGGCATCAAATACTCCTTCACCTTTGAGCTCCGGGACACGGGGCGCTTTGGCTTCCTGCTGCCAGCGTCCCAGATCATCCCCACAGCCCAGGAGACGTGGCTGGCGCTTCGAACCATCATGGAGCACACCCTGAATCACCCCTACTAGCACCACCACCGAGGGCAGAGCAGCAAGGGTCATTCCCTTCCCCAAGGACTGGGGTTCCTCCTGAAACCCAAGGGATGCTTCCTCTTCCCCACACCCCAACCCTGGCCCCTTAGGAAATAAATACAAGTTTGAACAGGCTTGGTGGCCAGCACCCCTTTGGGCTCACATTGAGGGAAGGGACAGGGCAGCTCGAAATGCCTCTTCACTCCCCAGGTGTTCAGGAGGATGAGGGGCTGGCGGACCTCACGCTTGCTCCCCCTGCAGAGTTCTCCAGGCCCAGAACACACAACTCACCCTCCGGGAGCGACTGGTACGCACATTGTCCCCTTGGTGGTTACATCCCCAGATGATCCTGGAGGGGACAGTGACCAAAAGGAGTGGCTGTCCAGTGGTGACATTTCTGGCACCTTGAGGGAGACGTGGGTACAGGCAGGCAGTGTCCTCCTCTTCCTGCTTCATTTCCCACGTGGGCAGAGGTCAGGGGTTCATTTCAGAGTCTCCCACTTCGAAGATCCCACTCACCCTCTAAAGGAGAGTAAACCGGTCCCTGATTTGTGACCTGCTCCTCCTGGGCACCCTCACAGTCTCCACTGGCTGTGGATGGAGTCCCAGCCAGTCACGGCCAGCACAGCAAAGCACCACGCATCCAAGGAGAGGAAATCTTCTTTTTCCTCCCCCTCTTTACCGCGGCCATCGTGGCTGTCATGCACTGAGCAGCTAGCCCTGGCCAGGCATTTACTCAGTAAGCCCTTTATTTAAGGGAGAGAAGGGCTCGTATTTTGAGATAGAAACAAGATGCACCCTCCCAATCCTGAGATTTCCCTATTTTTTTTAGTTATATATATATTATATATTATTTATTTATTTATTTATTTAGAGAGACACAGAGACCGCATGAGCAGGGGTAAGGGCAGAGAGAGAGGGAGAGAGAGAGAGCATCCTAAGCAGGCTCTACACCTGGCAATGCAGAGCCACATAATCACAAACGTGATTATAACGTTTGTACCCTCTGCATAAATACTTTTATTTGATCTTCTTGGGGAGGATATTACCAGTATTAATAGGCTTGTGTTTCAGATAAGGAAAGCATGATGATGAGGACAGGGTTGTTTTTTTTTTTTATGCTTATTTATTTATTTTGAGAGAGAGAGAGAGAGAGAATCCCAAGCAGTCTCCATGCTGTCAGTGCAGAGCCCGATGCAGGGCTCAATCCCACGAACCATGAGATAATGACCTGAGTGAAATCAAGAGTCGAACGCTTAACTGACTGAGACATCCAGGTACCCCGATATGGAGAGATTTTAAAGGCCACACAAGGTCACACGGATGGGAAGTTGTTGAAGGAGTTTTGAACTTGGGTCTGTCTAACCCCCAAACCACTGTGTCTCCATTTGTCCAAGTGTGTGACCTGTGGCCATGTCTGCAGCAGAATCCATGGGGAGTAACTGAATGTGAAGACATTTGGGTCTCGTTCCCAGAGTGAAACAGAATCTCTGGGGTGTATCCCCCAGATGTGTATTTTTACCATCTGCCCCAGGACTCTGAGGCCCCTGAAAGGCTGAGAGCCACCTGCTCTTCTGTCTCCCAGAACACATTTGAGTCTTCCTGGGGGAGTTGGGGCTTCGGGCTCCCACCTTCTGCCATTATCTGTCAGGGCTGAGGGTGGTTACACAGCAGGATGCCAGTCACCCTTCTCCAGAGGATTCCCAAGAGGCTGCCTTAGCCCTCACCTAAAGCAGTGTGTCTGCAGGCCATAGGCATCGGCATCACCCAGGAGCTTGCTGGAAATACACTCTCAGGCCACCCAGAGATCAGAAAGACTCTCTGGGCATGGGACCAGGTGATGTCAATGCCATGCTGGAGAGCCATGGCCCCAGAGGCGGGAGTATCTGGACTCTGACGAGCTGCTCAGTAACAGCAGTGAAAATAATAAACGTTTCTAGCACGTACTGTGTGCCACTCATGGTTGCGAGTGCATGACAGGTTTCGACGCATTGCCTCCTCACAGCATCAAGAAGTCAGACTGAGTGGCAGGCGAGATGCCCAGAGCCCCTCAGGACCAGGGGCCGGGAGCTGGTTCTCACGGCTATGTTGGGAAGACCTCTGTGAAGCCAACACTCACAGAAGTTGGGGCTGAAAATGCTTTACAGATGGGGATCTCCTTGAAAGGGAACTTTCTCTTGAAAATCCTTCAATGACTGAACGCGCCTCCCCCCCCCCACACACACAAAGTGCTACGTGGCTGGCCCTGCACACCTCTCCCACTTTGCTCGAACACCATGCTCATCAGCCCTAAGCTCTCTGACCTCCTCAGAGTTCCTTCAGCTCCTTTCCAACTGGAAGCCCTTGCATGTGCTGCTCCTCCTTGTCTGGAACATTCTTTCCTCTCATTCTTCCTCCAAATGATCCACTCCTTAAATTTTCCCCTTCAGTATACTTTCCTCACGAGTCCTTCTAGGACCATCCATGAAAAGTAGAACTATTCTCTTTTCCAAGGCCTTATGTATTTCCTCCATTACAATGATAATAATTAATTGACTTCTTTGTTGCTTTGTCTCTGCCACTAGTTTGAGGGTGCTCTGTAAGGGTAGGGACCATGTTTGGGTAGTTCACCCTCAGTTCTTGTCAGGCGCATAGTAAGTACTCAATATTTGTCAAAAAGGTGCTTCTCCTCCTCGGCCTGGTACAGATCAGTACTAGGTTTAGCATTTTGTGACAGAAATCCACCTTACTATGGCTTAATCAGATCGGGATATTATTATTTTTTTCATGTAATAAGTTGCCTGAGTAGGCAAACCAGCCCACCTGACTGAACCCGACTCCTTGGTGCACCCGGGACCCAGACCCTTCTGGCCTGTTGTGTTTTGCTTCTCTGCCCTCACTTTGACCCCCAGTCTACCATCACGTGACTGAATTCCAGGCAAGAAGAAGGGTAAGGGCAACAAATGTGAGCCAGCAGCTGAGCTGGCCCATCCACGGACTTCCCCTTATGCTTTATTGGCTGGGACTGTGTCGTTGGCCCTGCTCAGCTGAAAGGGAGGCTAGGAAATCACTTGACTGCTGAGTACTTTGCTGCCCCCAGTACAACTAGGGTTCTTTTGGGAAGGAGAAAGGGGAGGATGGATATTGGAAAGACAGCCAGCAGTCTGCTGCAGCTTCTCTGAAGGGAGAGGAGATCTGAAGGAGGTCTCTGAATCAGTTTCTTTGCTCTCGTTAACCAAGTGACTGACTAAATTGTCAAGCGATAGAACCTTCCAGGGCCCTTTCAAAGCTTCTAGTCCAACCTCCTCATCTTCAGTTATGAAGGCTGGGGGTCTCTGGGCTTGCAAGGGCCTACGTGAACCTAACATCTGAGGGAAGATTAAAGTGAGAAGTCTTCTTCCTATGTCTGAGGGGTCTCTTCAGCAAGCCCAGGGACATGATGGCCAGAGGAGTTTAGTTTATCAAACAAGAGCTCAAGACTTGGGGCGCCTGGGTGGCTTAGTCGGTTAAGCGTCCGACTTTCGCTTAGGTCATGATCTCGCGGTTCGTGGGTTCGAGCCCCGCGTCGGGCTTTGTGCTGACTGCCAGCTCAGAGCCTGGAGCCTGTTTCAGTCTGTGACTCCCTCTCTCTCTGACCCTCCCCTGCTCACGCTGTCTCTCTCTCTGCTAGAAATAAATAAAACATTTAAAAAAAAAAAAAGAGCTCAAGACTTAAACACGCGAATTTTAGCGATATTACAGAGTAATCTCTTTCTCATAAAATCTGAACTTTTTTGTTTTTCATTTCTTAGGTATATAATGCTAAACAGGAGTTCCGTTTTTCAACATGCTGCTTTTTTTTT